ATGGAAACTCAACTGTTCTTATTTACAAAACTACAGATTTATGTGGAGCAAAGTCAATTATACTTAATGTTTAAACTATTGCAGGTGCTCAATGACGTTGTTGCTAGGCAGTGGAAGTGAAATTGCTCTTTTAATGCATCTTGTTCCAATTGGGAGCATGTGTTCTATCATCAGTACAAACTTAACAGATGGATCTCTTAATCCTCACCAGTGATCTTTCACCACCTCCTCTACCTGAAACATTGTCCCATGCAGTCCATCTTAACCATAGCGCTCAGTCATTTGAGACAGAACAAGTGTTATTTTTCCCTACTTTTCCATATGCCTATTGAACTCCTTGGAATAATTATTTGATACCCAGATATGTCCATAGATACTAAAACAAATCTCAGGTATGTGACTTACTGTGAACACAAGAGCCATTTGAGCAGCAGTTATTGGACAACCCATGAGCTAACGCTCCCTTTCATATACAATGTAAGTAACCAGGAAGCCTCAGCTAGATGGTTGTGCCTTCACCAGTTATTTCAGAATTAAAATCCTTGCATTAAAAGTTTAAATGTGCATGGTGAGAGGCATACAAATAGGTATACTGTATTTACTCAAATCTAAGTCAACCCTGAATTTAAGATATACCCTAATAATTAGATTCTATATATGGAAAATGTATATATATTTTTAATAGTTTTCCAGGTATAGAATCTAATCATTGGAGAGTTGTCTGGAATTGCCTCCCCCCATAACAGCTACACCAAAGGAAAATAGTGGCTGGGGGGGGGGGGGGGGGGAGGGGAAGAGAGCACGGAGACCCGGAAAGAGCCAAGTGATCCCCCCCATACTTCTTCCTCCTACAGCCTCCGCCCCTTCCTTCCTGTCTTCAAAGTCTCTACCCCTTGCTCCCTGCAGTCTCTGCCTCTTCCCAGCCCTTTATTGTGAGAGACTGCTTGGGCTGTTCCCTCCCAAAGCATAGCACATTGAAACTCAGCCCTTGCCAAGCCATATAGTAAAGTCAGCACTGCTGATTGGTCAGGCAGGCAATGCAGAAGTGTTGGCACTGACTGACACTTTCAACAGGCAGAGTTTCCATGCACTCCATACCCAGAATGGAACTCAGCCTGATCCAGAACCAAGCTGCATCTGGTAGTAAGGGGAGGAAGAGGGCAGAAACCACAGAAGGCAAGTAGAGGTGGGGATAGAAGGCTGCTGTGGGTCTGACTCTGGGCACAACCCAGGCACAGGGCCAGAGTCAGAGCTGCAGCAGCCACTTTCCTCCCCTCCTCTCCCCCTACTTTGTATGCAAATTTAAGACTCAGGGCTTTTTCCTCCCCCCTCCCCCTTCCCCTCCCCACTGATTGGGAGAAAGAAACTTATCTTACATTTAAGTAAATACAGTATAAAAATAAAATATAACAAGCAGAGATGGCTAAGTTTTAGTTTTGGAAGAAAAGAGAGTTCAACAAAATTCCAGATAAGAAGGGGCCTCTTCAGCATGCTACACTTTGCCTTTAGTTTACTCTACATGTTCAGTCATTTCCCCACATCTCCTACCTGTCTGACCTTAGTAAATAATTGCTTCATGTTTCTGATGCAGTCTGCTTCTTTAAAAAGGAAGAACAAAACTAATGTAATTTATACTGATCCTAATGCATGCCAAGATAAAACTTAGGGACTTCCAGTCAGCCTGCTGCAACTACTCATAAGCCACAGATATGATAAATAACTCTGGTTATTTAGAGTCTTGAGTATTCTGACCAAGTCATTTGGGAAACATCTGTCACCTCATCAGGGACCATAAGAACACAGTATTAATACCATTAGTACAAGAAGCTTACCTCTCTATCAGAAACACAGATACTACTGTCAATTGGTAGCTCACATTATTTCTTATCTAGCCAAAGGCAAGTCCAAACTGTCCTTCCCTACTTCAACCCCTCAAAGAAAACTCCTCTACTACCAGTAACTAGAATGCTAATGAGCTTCACCTGGGTGCAAAGGCCCCTCCTCCCCCCTTAAAGCCCATATCCTTCAATACCCCTCCCTTAATGAGGTCCAGCTGCTTTTTTCCCTCTCCATGATTGACAGCCTTTGCTGTTTGAGCAGGCATTTCTCCCTTTGCAGGGAGTTCGTTAACACTCTTCCCCTTGAATGGGGAAGCAGGAAAGGTACACACCAGATGGTTTGATAATTGTAGCTGCAATGCATTTTGTATTGCCAGACAGACTTTTACTTGTCATGAAGTGCTTGCATAAAGATAGAAGTCTATCCCTTTGGGTATGTAACAGATTATAGAGGCATAAACATAATCACCATGAAGGCTTTAGGCACAGACAGAAGTGTGGCCCCCTAGTCTAGCTCATGGTGCTTCACAGAAAGTGCCATGAGTTACACTGATCCTCCCAAACCAAGAGCTGTTAGTTGTTGGGATGGGAGGGTGGGGGATTGAGCTCCATTTTGGAGCTGATCTAGGGAGAGAGGCTGCATCTTTGCAACCTCTTCCCTTAGCTCTGCCCCACTTCTCCCAGCCCCTGGTGCTGTCTCAGGATGGAAGGGTGGGTGACAACGCAGGGGAGGGGGTCCATTCTGGGGTTTCTCAAGTCTGTGCTGGAGTGGTGGGAGGGGGTGGATTGGAGGCCCCAAAATGGCAAGGAGGCTCCAATCTACCTGTCCCACCCTCAGGTGTCAGCTGGGCAACCCCTAGAATGAGTTCCTTCCACTCCCTTCTCCTCCTCCCATTCTGAAAACAGTGCTGGGAGCAGGACTGGATTGTGTCAGCCAAGCCCTGCTCCTAGTGAATGTGGGCAGAAGTTAATGAAGGCTTTGGAGCACCTCCATCTGAACCCTCATGTAATGTAATGAGGATTCTGATTGTCACAGGATCAGGCCCTTTTAAAGTGCTCTGCAGCTGTGCACTTGCGTTAGGTCACAGCTGTAGAGCACTTTCAGGGGCCAGATTGGGTACAAAATGTCACTTCTGTCTGCAAATTTTGAGAGTCAAGACCACAGGCCTCTGCCATCCAACAAAACAATTTTGTTTTTTATTTCTAGAAGGTGAATAGTTTCTAGTTTTAGACTGTAGTTAGGTACAGGATCACAATTACTAGGCTGGTGTAGTACAATGGAATGCCATTTTACTCCTTCCATTATCATAGTGAAAGAATCTGTTTATTATGCTGATCCAAAACAAAAGCATATGGATGTTGTGTATTTCTAGGATTTGATGGACACACAATTTGAAGTGTTTAGGAAACAGGTTGCATTGAGGTAAAGGAAGTTTTTTATTTTGGAAAGTTTTCTTTCACTTTCAAATGTTGGAGTGTTATAATAGTGGTGATGGTCCAGAAAATGTGAGAGATGAGGATTTTTGTCAGTGATATATGTTATTGGACCAATTGCATGGTTAGGATAGACTTAGACAAGCTCTCAGCTGAAGAATGTCTTGCATTTGAATATTTGTCTACATCTATTCCAGGCATGTAGTTGGTCCAATAAAAAAATATTACCCACAAAAATTTTTGCTTCATATCCAATACAATTTGTTTTGTTTTTCATGAAGAAACTTGGTCTAAGCATTGAACTGGTGAAAGTCTGGATCAGCTTTCAAGTAGTAGTGGATTCAATCAACAAACGAGTGTAAGATGAATCTTGACAAACAGATTTGAAAGTTAGAAATACTATTGATTTTCTGCGGAATTAAATCGATTCCCACTAGGTAAAGAAGGCCAGTCCTGAGCTGTACTTGGATGCGAGGAACCAACTGATTTTCAGAATGTAGCATGCCATTTCTTCTTAGCAACTTTAGAACATGGTATTTGGGGGAAAGAAAATCAGGCATTTGAATGGTCTCCATGAGATTTGAAAAAGGTTTGAAGCTACTTAAGGTGTCCCATTATATTTCTAACATGGGAATGCTTAATAATCCCAATGTTATTTGTCAAATTACAAGGTTGGCTGTTATCTCCTTATCTATATATCCTCAGTGACTTCATTTCAGTATAGCTTGCTTATGTTAAAAAACTACTCCACATTTTTTTTCATAGATTTTTAGGGGGTTGTTAAATAACTGTTGTGCCCCAAAAATGCTATCTGGAGTGCTTCTAGTATATATATTTGATTAGGGAGGTATTTTGAGGTTATTTCATTAACTGTAGTTCTGCTTAACTCTTATGTAGCACTTCTGCAGTAGATCTCAAATTGGGCATGTCTGTATGTACATTAATGCACTTTTCCTAATGTGCATTAAATTTAGTACATCCAATGTGAGGTACTAAATTAAAGCACATTATGCTGCCCTAATGTGCAGTAGTGCAAGCGCAAGCTTTAGGTGATGCTTAATGCACAGGAGCCTATTCTACTGCATATTAGCATAATAGCACATTTTATGCACTGCTTTAATGTGCAGTAGAATAGGCTACCACACTTTAAAGCACATGTGTAGACATGCCCGAAGTGATTTTTCAGAGGACATCAGTACCATTATTCCCCATTTTTGCAGGTGGGAGAACTGAGATAAAGAGAGAGAAAGTGATTTGCTCATAGTCATTCAATGGGCCAATAACAGATCTCTTGATTGCCAATTCAAACCAGCATCAGGAGCACTGACTCCTAACAAGATTTTTTTTTAAAATCATTTAGTCATGTTGCTCAGTAATTTGCTAAACAATTTGATATGTTACTTTATTCAGTTCAAGCTATTGCTGAATACAAACACATGTTAACACATTATTACATAACCCTTTACTAATTAAAAAGTTTTATCCTACAGCCACTCTTCTCATGAAACTCTCATTGGCTACAATGGGAGTTACACCAACATAACAATTATAGGATAAAGCCCCAGCAGTTGTGCTTATCTGTAATACCTGGTAAAAACATAATATAACAAATCAGCAGTACTGCTCAGGTACATCAAATACATAGGCAGTTTCATTTTAAAAAAATGCCAGATACCTTACTACAGAAGAGCACCCTAATACTAAGTCTTCCATTTAAGGGTAAAAATATTACAGGAATGTCTCCATAGGAGACAAAGTAGAAGTAGTTTCTAGGACACTGTCATAAAATTTGAGTTTATTTTCATGCTGCAGAAGTTTCTCTTGCAGACTACTTCCTCTGAACCCTTTGGCATATTCTTGATGTAGATTGCTGTACCTGTGGTGAATGGGAGATAAGGGAGGGAATAGAGGATGGGGGTGGGAATAAATAAAATGAGACTGTTTAGGATTTACTCAGCAACTGGTTAATAGTTACCCTTCCCTTCCCTCAGTTTCCCTATCTGTTAAATTGGGATAATGACAAGGACCTTTGTACACACCTTATGGGTCTTTCAAAGCCATGTTGTGAAAAATCATTAACTTTTTTTATTTACAGCTTGGCTGCTGAACAGAATAAATGTATTTAGCATTGACTCTAAACATTTTTCCCCCAGATTTTCTCATAAAAAGTGAAAAACAGAAAACCAAAATCATTCTGGCTCTTACAGTTTCATTTCAGTTTAAAATGAAACATTTCTTTTGTTGCCCAGGAGTTTAAACCCATTTTAAAAAATTTTAAAAAATGGTTTAATTTTTTATTTCAAAACAACATTTCATTTCAAAGGTCAAGCTTTTGAAATTGCATGGAACTGTCTTCTAGGCCATTATCAAAACACTTTCACAAAATATGAATATCATTATCCCATCCTAGTTATATTTTTTTTATTAACATCCCATTTTAGAGAGGCCAAAACGGAGGTAAGCAGAGGAGAAAATTATCTATTCGTGACTAGAACTGGAGATCGTATCCAGAATAGATGCCCTATATTAGGAACTAGATATTATTATTTCCTGGGATTAATTCAGAATTGGATTACCATATTTTCTCACAAACTGCATGCCCAAAATAAAGTGTTCACCTATTTTTGGAAGGCAGAATGTAGGAAAAAAAATCTATGGCCAACTGTGTGACAGAGCAAGCCCACCTGGACACTCTGGGTATGTCCAGACAAGCATGGATGTATAGTATGCAGCGTCACAGATATCTGCGGTGCCACATACTACACATGTCATACATGCAGGCATTCCTTGCACTGCTGCTTTGCAGCATGGGTGGAGGGAGTTTAATTCCAGCAAATTCTGAGGTCAAAAAAACCCCACGCCTAAAAGAAGCAGTGGTGCATGCAGCAGCAGCACCCACAACCCCAAACCAGGGCCTGGCTGGCTCCCTGGAGTCAGGCTCCTTGCTGGAAGATGGCTGTAACTGCAACTCCCAGAGGCCCAGGACCCCAAGTAAGGCTACTGCCCCAGCCTCCTCTATCCCACCTGAGGCAATGTGCCCTGAGCCAGAATGCACATAGCATAGGGCATTCCCTAGGGATGAAGAGCAGTGGCACAAGGTTGTGCCACTGCTACTTGTCCCCGGGGGAAAACACATCCCCACTCATGGGGAAATGCCTTCTATGTATCCAGGAAGCATGGGATTCGGGGAAATAATCTGGGTGAGGCAGCAGGACAGCAACAAGGCTAGGTCCCAGACAGGCAATAGTAGGATTGTTATTTCTTAGTTCCTTACATGAATTCCTGTAAATAATCAATTGTTTCTTCTACACCACAAGCTTCATCAAGATACTGGAGACTGAAGGTGGCTGCTCAGTAACCCACAACCAGTTCAGTGTCTCTTCATCCAAAAGGTACTCCCTCCCCAGTGGCTGTGAACACTGGACTCCCATTCTCTGCTTTTATAGGACATCAGTACCATTAGCACCATTTTGCAGGTATGGGAATGGATGGTTGTAGGTATGCGTAAAGAACTTTCATAACTGGGGGCAAACTATATCTATTCAGTTTTTAATCTTATTGCCTCAGTCAAGTTACTGTCAAGCCTCTTCTTTTCAAGGGGGAGGTGAAAACTCCTGAACTATGATCCCTGCATGATAGAGGACTGGATGATTACTAAAGCGATAACAGACTGAAAGCTAATTTGTAATTTTCATGAGAGATCCTATACATACTAAAAAAGAAGAATCAGTTCTCTTGTTCTTACCGATGTGAAATGGTCCAGAACCCCAAGGTATTCACCATCATTAAGGAAGCCAAAAAGAAGAAGAACCTTTCCAATTTACCTTCATGCAGTAAGTGTGGGAACCAAATACCTGTTGTTGAAGCAGACATTTGAAGAAAAGTGAGTTTTTTGCTTGGCTAAGATATAGATCATGTAAACAGTTGCCGAAAAATATGCTTGTGTAAGACCAAGGAGATACCACAACAATGATGGTTGTTTGGAACTCGTGTTGATACTTACCTGGCCTCCATTATGACCATATTTGAGCAACCCCCGCTCTTTAACGTATCCGTTATCTCAGTGTTAATGACAAGGAGCCAGTCATAGTCAAACTAAACAATTTCCCCAAGGTCTGAGGTGGAACAGGATACAGAGTCCTGGGCTTCATTTAGCACCCTATCCTTCGTAATCATCTCTTGTGTGTGTTGTACATATAATAACTTCATTAAAATTGCAATAGTATGCACTCACAATTTATGATATTCCAGAAGGTCCCTCTATTCAGACCTGTTGTGCAAAATAGAGAAACATAGAGCCTTTCACTACCTATTTACATGCTGTTTTTCTTCCCCTGCAGATCTCCCGCCTCATTGGGTACACTATACAGGCTAGATGCTGCTCACTGATTGAGCAGCTATTCAATATTTCATTTTATCCTTATTGGATAAAACCTCAATCAAGTGTTCAAGAATGAGTAGAGAGAGGTGACCTTGGAGCAACTTTCCTGATGCATTGCCCAGGGCTCTGAAAGCACAAACACTCTTCCCCTTGAGAGTTTGGCAACAGTGTGCCAATGACATTTCAGCAGTTCAAATTCCATCCATCAAGTGCAGTACCACACATGAAGCCCACAGTCTTCCCTCCTACCCGCACAGTGTTTAGCTTCATTACTTCTTTATTTTAATAGTTCTCCTCTTCCCACAAGATGCATCACGTACATCGCAAGTGCAGGAATAGATTTCCTATGGTATGTGGCGACTGTAGAGATTAGGGTGCGCAGGGGGAAGCCAGACATCGGTTAAGATGGATTTTGAGCAGTTCAGTCCTTAAGGGATGATCAAACATGGCAAACACAAAAACAAAATGAAACGAGGAGTGACAGAAGAACTAGAACACAACAAAGCTCTACAGGACAGTATCAAGTCCTCCTAATTAGGAGCATAGCCTATTTATTCGCAAGAGGAGGAGAAAAGCACCTTTCTGTACTCTCCCAAGTCTCTGTGAAATCCTTTAGCTTTATGAAGCAAATACTCTCCACAGGTCTTTGCTTAAAGGGAAAGGGGGAAGGAAGGAGAAATAACCTTTCCTTTTATTGCTCTACTGTAGGAGCCTAATGGCCTTAATTGACCTTAGTATCTATTGGCATTCTAGGGTGGTTTGCAAGAGCTGCTTAGTCTAATTAGAAAGAGAAAAGAGAGGAAACAACTGTACAGCTCAGGAGAGTGGCCAGTGAAAAGAATAAAAAGAAAAAGGATCCATGCTTTTCTCTTTCATTCTCATACACTTTCATTCGTGCCTAAGGGTAGTAAATTCCTCACTCTCCAAATAAGCAGTCACTCTTCGATCTCTCTGGATCAATAGGGAGCAACTGTAATCAGTAGAGCAGTTTTCTGTGATTTCTCCCCCAGACTTTGGTTCACAGAGTGATGCCTGTGTCTGTCACGGAACAGCACCACCTCACCTCAGCATGTGTGGTTCTCTTCAGAGCATTATCTCAGAACTAGCTTTAAAATGTATCATTTAACATTGTCAGTTGACTGAGCTCCTAGGTACTATAACTTCATTTTAGTGGCTTATAAACTTTTACTGTCATAATTCACAATCAGGCAGTTTTTCATTTTACATCCCCCAGTGGCCGATAGAACTCAAGAAGAGAGACTGTGTATCTGATGAAAGGGAAAGTAAGCATGGGGTTCTGTACTACAGCTTGTCAAAGCAGAGTTCACACTGTCTGTTAGATTATTTACATCTGCTGGTCTAACTATATGAGCAGCAGGAGTTGCATAATGGAACTCAGTTTACAATGGATTCTGAACAGAAAATATCCACTTAAAATACTACTGAATTATTAAAAAAAAAAAAAAAAGACTCTTGTTCTACCTCTATGCATTACAATCTGTTGCTTCCAAAAGAAGAGTCTAAACACTGAGTACCTCAAGATTGCTTTAGTGCTGGTGACTGGCACCATGTAATTAGTACTGGAGATAAAAGCCTTCTATTTATGAGCAAAAGTATACTGTCAAGCAGCATGAGCTAATAGATAGGATATTGGACTAGGATTTGAGATGTGGATCCATTCTATACCCTGTCCCAACCTCCTCTGTTACTTAGACCCAGAGAAAAGTGACTCTTATTCTTATTCTCCCCACTCCCACCCCACTTTCCCATTTTGGTCTCAGATAGCACTTAACACAGTGAACATTTCTATATCATGGCAGCGGTATCATGACACCAAGGGGATGATGGAGCCTCAAAATGCTCTGCCCACCCGAATATGCAAACATACTCCGAACCAGAAATGCATCTGTGTGGTTGCTGTGCCCCTCCTCAAGCCTTCAAGCTTTCAGTTGGCCTGCAAGCAGACCTTGGGGATGAACCCATAGCAGCCTCACTAGTGAACTTCCCAGCTCTGGAGAACACCAGCAGACTCAGGTGGACAGGGTGTGAACAGAGCCCTTAGTGCCAGGACATGCCATTGCTGCAGTATAGACAAGTCCAGACAGACCCAGATCTCCCATGAGGCCTTCAGAAGATAGCTCCCAGTACTGGTTAGAGATAATCTGGGCTAACCTACATACTAGAAATGCTATATCTGCATTAGGAGCAGGGTAAACCAGCCTAGGTGGAGCACCAGGCTAATACGGTTTTGACTGCTTCTGGTACCTGAGTGATCTCAGATGGCCTACACTGTCCCATGTAGATACATGCAGAGCATAGTGCAAGTCACCATCAACACAACAAAGGCACAGGACAAGATTTTTTCAACCTAGAATTAGGTTTGATTTTAGAGATTAAAAAACAAAAAGTTGCATCTTCAGGGCTGAAAGAAAATACTCCGGACCCCTAGGCAAACCAGGAAAAGGCTTCACTTTATACAGCTCTGCTCCTGGATCATAGCCTCAGCTCTGCTCCAAGAGGGAGCAAAAGTGAGGTTTCCTTCTCTTTCTCTGGCTGCTAAAAAGGAGGTTCTCTACTGTATTAGGAGGCTTTCTTGGTTGAAAAGTACCAGTGCAGCACTAGCAGCAGTCTGAATCAGTCAAATCTGTTTTTAAGTTTTATTTCAATGAAAACAAATTCTTAAACTAAACATTTTCCATGGAAAGTGTCCAGTTTGAACAAGAACAACAACAAAACAACAGACCTTTTGGGCGGGTTTTTTTGGGAGAAAAATCTGAATTTTCCACCCCCCCCCCTTCCAAAAAACTTAAAAGTTTTACAGCATATTCCTTTTCCACTTGCACCAGCCAAAGCCATTTACTACTGTGTGTCTCTAGGACTCTCAAAGCAATGGGACTAGCTAAAACTATTGAGTAGCAAGGGGCAGCTCACCTGCTAAGAGATGTTGTTTCACACTGTCTAAAGTCAGGCATCCCTCCATGGATTACAATCATGTTATATTTTCAAGATTTTATTCTAGACCATGAATACTAGATAACCTAATAGCTCTTTTTTATTTTTTAGTTTATACTTTTGTTTTAAGTGGAAGCCAAGTGTCTTATAAAGCACAGGAAAAATGTGACCCAATACCCTAGACACTGATGGCCTACAGCAGGGGTCAGCAACCCCTGGCATGCGTGCAGAGCAGGGAACGCAAGGCCATTTTGCTTGGCACACCACCGCCAGCCCGAACTCTAAGCAGCTGCTGCCAGCCATGGAGCCCAGACTACTCCCAGCAGGCGGCTGGGAGGCTGCTAGCCCTGCTGCAACAGACCGGGCTCTGTTGGCCGGCTGCAGCTGGGAGGCTGCAAACAGCTGCTCCGGACTCCAGCATGTCGGCACTCTGGCACTTTCCAAGGTAGACATTGTGGGTTTTTTGGCACTCTGGCCAAAAAATGTTGCCTACCCCTAGCCTACAGCATCTATGCCTGGATCCAGCAGTGTTTCCATGTTGAGCTACTCTGTGGTTTTTCTATTAGATTTGACAACAAAAGTAGAAGTTATAGGGGTTGTCCTGCCGTTACTTGTTCACTGGGAATTAAGCCTCTGCCACATGTTCATTCAATAGCACAATGGGATGTGATTCCTGATTCTAACAATCATGCCTCTTGCCATGCCACATGTACCTGGCAGAAAGCACAATTTTGGGATCATAGATTCATAGATGTTAGGGTCGGAAGGGACCTCAATAGATCATCGAGTCCGACCCCCTGCATAGGCATGAAAGAGTGCTGGGTCTAGATGACCCCAGCTAGATGCTTATCTAACCTCCCCTTGAAGACCCCTATCATGGATCAGATTCTAGTCATACTACTACTATTTGCCAGTTCAGTGGGAGTTTGGGATTATAATCGTGGACTCCCCCTGTAGCAAACTGAGCTGAGCCAACAATCAGCTGATCATCATCTCCAGTCCTGGGACCACACAGGGGCCAGCTCAAGACTGGTACAGCTGACTGTTGGCCCCAAACCCAGGACTGCACCAGAAAACTTCAACAAGCTCTGGCTACTCTTCCACATGTTCAATTTAAGGCACGATGAAAACCTCTCATAAAAATGTTACACGTGTGTTGAGGACAATTTTAATGGCTGATTTCCCATTTTGTCATGCCATTAATTCCTTAAATATGTGGCAGGGTTACTATTTATGGTACAATTAACAGGTTAGCTGTGCCTTAATTGCAAAGTCTGTCAGGGGCTTTTTAGGCTCACACCTCACAGTTCAATGGTTTCCTAGATTATTCCAACATGAAAATTCTCAATTGGTAATTCGCACTGTTAAACATTATAAGATATCTCTTGATATTGTAAGGATTGTTTCCTTTTAGGTTAGGTGAATTATTTATGGAAGTTCAGATAATACAGTGGTAGGAGGCCATATTTAAAAACAAATAAAAGTGAAGAGATGGAGCCTGGCCCTGCATATAGACAGGTAAACACTGTGTTGGACAGGAGAGCTTGTTGCCTTCCTACTCTATGCAAAACTCAGGCATAAGTTCGTCCTTGGATTATCCTGAACTCAAGGATGACCTGATACTTGTGCCTGCAAAATGGCCAGGAAGAAAGAGGAGCACATTAACACCATCCCAACACAAGTCAGAAGGTCTGTTTGGGCACAGAGAAAAGTTGATGCTGTTTTTGTAAAGTGAAGTGAGTATCCTGAACACTTACTTCTAACCTATTACTAAGGCCATAAGTTTGAAAAAACAACAACACAACAACGAACCACATCAGCATTAGTTCTTCACCTTGAAATTTAAAATCTAAGAGCTTCAGATCTCCATCAGTCAGTTCATCTTGTTATAGGATGTATTAAACCCCAGTACATACTGCTTTCTATTGTTATTTATTAAATAGGCATCAGTGGACACTGCCATCTGGACTGCAAGAAACATCCTTTCGCTGTTTCATATTTTGGTACTTATTATCACACAATAAGTTAGAACCCATATGCGAGAAAATTGGTACCAAAGATTATAGCAGAAAGAAAATCTGGGCCAATTTCCTTCATTTTGACCCTTTTCTCCCATCATATATTTACATTAATAGTTATAGAGAAACTTATTCTGAAGTGGTTAGCATAGGAGGACAGGTTTTGTCTTGCATCTCTTCCATTAAAATGTTAGGAGAGGTAAAAGATCCAAAAGAAATCAGTTTCCCAGCTTGTACTGAAAATACCACTGTCACCCGTCATCTGTTTGCACTCGTCAGATTTCAAAAAGTCTTATTTTATCATATTCACACCATCCTCCATAGATGCGTAAAAATGATTAATGCAGCCTAGACGCTCTGTGACTGATATATGATCAACTTTGCCAATAAAATCCTGTAAGTTAGTGACATGAAGCATGATCCAAAAAGGTTTAACTAATTTAATCAACACCTTTCATGCCCAGCAGTGTAATTCACATAATTAGATCCTCCAAGATGATAAAATATGTATGTCCTGAATGACTTCAGAAGAGTCTAGATTCCATCTAAATTAGGGATGAGGGGACCCCAAAATAATTTAGGTTTAGGTTTCAGTAATCCTGACCTATGGCACATTGTGTAGCAAAACATTCTTACGATGAACCTTGCCACAATTTACAACAGCATGATTTACATGTCAACCCCTTAATTGCAACAGAGCACACGTTTGATCATCAGAACCCAATCTAAATGCTCTTTGATTAAGTAGGTTTAAAAACATCTATTTCAAGCTATTGTGTTTTCCCCAAATCCCAGGCCTTGTTCATCTACTGGTTGTTTTACAAACTTCTGTAGATTGCCTTAAAAATATTGCTTAAAATTCTGAGGGAGGGAGGCATGGCTGGCATCAATGTTGGTGAACTGACACTGGCTGAATTGCTGTTAACAGCAGAGGCCACACTGGCAGAGATTTGGAAGTTTTTGAAGGGTTTTTTTGGATGGGGGAGAGGGTTTTTTGTTTGTTTGGGTTTTTTTAAGGAAAGAGGACTACTTTTCTTATGTTACTTATTAATATGAGCACAAAGGAAAGTGACCAAGAACTACATCAGAGTATAAGGCCTAGTACAACCAGTCTAATCATGCAGATGAAATGAAATAGATTGGAAAAAGGGACCTTGTTTTCATTATTACTAGAAAGAGCAGCACAACAATGACGGAACTGCAACATATGTTTTGAAAGCATTCCCTCTGAAACCAGGCAAAACCCTATCTTCTAGTATTACTCTATACTCAGCTCAAAAGGTCTGCACATTTTATAAACAAGCCTAGCCCATTTCATGGGTGATCATCATCAAAATTTGGCTGAAGTGAGGAGAAAATACTGGAGCATTTCTGTGCCCAGTTAAATATGTAGTGACAAGAGATTCAACATTTTAAAGATAAGGTAAATGTTAATGCATCCTTCCAGCAGTGGCCACTGGAAATAGGCAAACTGGTGTTGATGAACAGAGGATGCAGTAGAAGAGCTTCCAATGAAACTCATTTTAGAATGAAATCCTGAGGCACTGGGAATACCTCACTCACATGAAGATGAAGGAAGTCTTATATCTGATAAGGACAACAGGATTCCATTGAGGAGATTTTCCCTTAATTTCTCACCATGGTTTCTCATAATCAAAGTTTGGATAAGAATTCATCTCTGAGTAATCACACTTTTGAGAGCAAACTGTAACTGACCCACTTCTGAGAAACACAGTTATCCTTGTGGAGGAGTCATTTGGAGTAGCTGTGCGTCATTCACTCATGGGAATGATAATTTCCATGATGGAGGCAAAAACATGGATCGAGATTTTTCAAAGGTAGCTAGGGGATTTAGCCATGTAACTCCTATAAAAATGAAAAACTTAAGTGACTAAGCCAGGGGCAGGCAGGGCAGGGAGCTGCTCCAGGGCTGGAATCTTGCAGTGGTGACAGTGTGGACCGAAACAGGGGCACAGCTGTGATCCACTGCCCACATGCCTTGGGCAGGACCATGCAGGCAGTGGATTGTGGCTACGTCCCAGCTGTGGACCATGTGGTCACCACTGCAAGATCTCAGCCCCGGCCACGGAACAGATCCATGAATGAAAAACAGGCAGGGGCGTACAGGGAGTGGATCATGATTCTGCCTTTGACCCCAGCCCTTCGCTGTCACTGCTCAGTGATCCCTATCCCAGGTAGGGCCCTCCCTGCTCCTGGAAGTGCCTCCCCACCTGCCTGCAGCCTTATTTTGTCCCCCCAGTCATGTGCCCTGCCCGTACAGGTCTTGGCCAGTCTCCATTGGGACCCCAGGATTGCTGGGTGAGGACAGCACGAGGCTGTGGTCTGGGTCAGAGCTGTGATCCGCTCCCTGCACACCCCTGCCTGTGAAACCATTACAGGGGTAAGCAAGGAGCAGATCATGGCTCTTCCCTGGGCCCCAGCCCTGCACTGCTACTACGCTATGATCCCAGTCCCAGTCCCACTTGCCCATCCCATTCCCAGATGCTGCTCCCTTCCCACCTGTAGCCCCATCTCAACCCCCTGGCCATGCATGGGAATCACTTAGGGAGTTTTGGTGAGCTGTTGCGTGGGGGGGGAGGAATGGGAGGAGAAGATACTGACGCCCAAGTGGCCCTCTGGCCAAAATATTTGCCCACCTCTGGACTAATATTTCCTGACACACATTTTCACTGCTATACACTTTTTGGTTTCATTGTCTGCCAGATGAAGTCTATAAGAAATGCAACTTAAACCTAATACAGCTCTGAAAATTTGCATCTATTTTAATTACAGGTTTATTTTGATTAGATTCAGCAGCAGCAAAATGTAAACAAAGAGTAATTTTGTGTAAGGTGGTAATGACCACGTTCGTGAAAATGAAGCAGTGTGGGGAACTTACTGTTTCAAACACAGTAACCATGTATTTTGTAGGTATAAACAGAGGAGCACCTAGCTTCTAAGGCACTCCCATTTTTTTTAAATATACACATAAAACAAAACTCCTACATACTGAACTGCATCCAATAACAGCTCATCAGGTAAAAAGGAAAAAAATAAAATAAAATTACCTGCTAAATTCCCCCTGCAACATGTCCTACCTCAGACAAATATCCAGCAGTTCAGACTAACAATAAATATTGGTTCAATCTGCAAAACTGGGTCAAAAACACAATGAGAATGGCTTCTCTGGGAATTTTTGTACTTTTCTGAATGGGATGGAAATTCTGGGAAAATATCTTGTTGCAAAATATTGGTATATTGGGTAGGAGTTGTGTATGAAAAATGAAACACCTCCAATTGCAGTCAACAAAAATACCTGCAGAGTGAAGTTCTATTTTTGACTAAAGGTGGCACAATGTAGGCTTGCAGCATTTTGTTAAGAGTTATTGTATTAATTTTAGAGGCTCTATGGCTGAAATCAAAGGTTTTTAGGTTCCTAAGTTTTACTGCTATCAGTGAGAATCAGAATCCCTAAGGATCTGGGATTCTGTGGCTAAATCCCCTCACCAGCACTGAAAAATGTCAGGCTAACCTGTTTTTCCTTGCCCTCAAGCCTATATTGAGGTAGGGAAATACATATTTGAGAAATGTATCTTCCATGTTTCCTTCTGAACCTCTTCTAAAATACTGAACACATTTTCATAGCTATTTAAATTATTCCTAAGTATACATGGATGGTGGGTGTATGTGTGTGCTGCGAATTCTAGTGGGTAAAGGATGCTTGATGGCCAATTTATTTTTCATGATTTCAGAAAAGAATGCATGGGGCTCCTTGCAAGATGGCATTTTCTAATTACTCCACCTATCAAAAGTAAGATGACTCATTAAAATTTGATGAATACAGCTGCAAGTCTATTTCCTATCTTAATTCTATCTTAATTGTGAAAGCAAATCAATAAAACTTTGGCAGCTACTCGTATGCTGTTACATGCTTCCCCAAATCAATAGTCAATAGGATTAGACAACTGTGTTCAGAAGCACACAGCACAAGCACATTCCTTACCTTGAGAGCCTGCATGTGCTGTCTGAACAATGAAAGCTCCCATAAAACAGCCAGCTCCATTGAAGAGGGTCAAAAAATGCATGGAGATCCCTCGAATTCCATCTGGCACAAGCCTGAATGACAGCAGGGAACCTTTGCAAAAGACAGTTACAAGTTGTACAAGTTAATAACGTCACTGGGTGGCCAGAAGAAAGGTAAAATAGAAATGAAATTACTTGGGAAAGACAAAAACCCAATCCTACATTCACCATATTAATATATACTTTGCAACCTGCTTACTCTGGAAAGCAGCTGTACTTATTAGAATGTACCCCTTCAGTGGGGCATTGAGTTAACTTAAGGCTACTTTAACTGAACATTATAGCGCCCCGAATCAGTCACCTCATAAGAATAATACTTTCCATGTATATAGCACTTTCCATCCAACCATTTCAATATCTTACAGCTTAGTCTAAAACCTCACATGGTAAGTAAGTGCCACAGGAAACAGGCACAGTGAAACATGTCTACAGTAGGGTTTTGTTGGCTCCAGCAGCAATCCAGCTCTATTAGCATTAGCAATAATGGGAGCGCTAGTGTAGATAAGGCTCTTATGATTAGTGTTTGGAATGGTGTTTGAATGTGTGTGATATATTAACAATTTCTAAATGTCTTCCAACTTCATTAATGTTCCCAGTGATGATGGGCAAAGATGCCTCTTTGGGTTTTTTTTTTTTTCAATTTTCCCTTACTCACATCCCCAAAACCCCTAATGTAAACACTGATCCTCCAGCCTCTCAGAAATGGTACTGTGGGTTTTAATGCTCACCCTGATGCTCCTAGCACAGTGATCAGAGGCAGGAGAAAGTAAAAAAGTTCAAAACCATGGATGTGATAATAGCAGTGGGTAGCACCCCCAGAACAGCTTTACACACTCATTTCTGGGATTGGTACATATGGGCAGGAGTGGGTGGTCAGGGCATACACAAGAGTAGCTCTTCCCAGGAGCACTGGAAGTGTTAGAAATACCCGTGTGTCTGATGCAAATGCAAATCTTGGCTAACAGTGACCTGAATTCTTTCCAATCCAAAAGTTGCTTTAACAGGCAGTCACTGCCCGCTGGTAGGTAGCTGATCATCTGCCTTGTATTTTTTGTTTTTACAATGTTTAAGTAGTTGTACCTTTAATCTGAAACCTAGAATAACTACAAAACTAGTCAAGTAAACCAAACTGAAAGCTTGTAATATTATTAACATTCAATTATGGCAAGGGTGCAGATAGTTAGTTCATGTGATTTAGCCAGATTTAAAAGAGGGACTTACTTTCTCCTGGACTTTGATGCATACTGGGGGAAAAAATTAAAACTAACTTTCACAATGAAAAGCAAGATGAAGTCATCTACCAGATTGTTTGCTGTTAGTTACAGACTTCTGCCTTATTAGAATTTGTTTCCTAGATTTCTTCCCTAGCTGTTTGTTCTCTTTGGTGTCACTCTTCATCTGTGGCTAAAGTCTCTAGTTTCCCTAATCATGTATTTTTGAGGTCCTTCTGTATCCATTTTTATCAGCTCAAGGTCTCTCCTTTTCAGCCTGTCCCATCTCTATTGCTTAGTGGAGATTGCTGCAACCTTCATGGAAAGAATTCATGATGAGATAGCTGCTAAAAGGAGATCCTAGTTTCACATTTGGCTACATGACTCATCACTATTCAAATCACCCCCCTCCCCATCTTTAATTGGCAAGTGCAAATGAAGGTTTTGAACAAAGAAGTTAGGTTAAAAAACTGAGTTTTGAGTGGCACTTTTACTGCAGTCAACAGTGAAAGCAGAATTGAGTCAAGGGGGTGTCCATGTGAGAGGGGAGACAAGATCAATTAAGTGCAGGGTGTACTATAATGGAAGACTATAGCCTGAGAAATTATAAGGCCAATGTCCTAAATCTAAACACTTTTGTGTTGTACACTGCCTTCATGTCGAGCCCCAGAGTGCCTCTAAAAAGCATGCCCTACTTGCTCCCAGCTCCACCCATACCAAATTCTGGAAATAAGACCATCTATCTGCCTTAGTGTGCTGCTAAGCATGCCCACAGAGTTCTCTCAAACTCCGTCTTGAGCGAACTTATTGGCATGTGTTAGGGCCCTTCTACAGCAGCTAAATGGCCCAATTTCTGGAAGTCAGCCCACATGGAATAGGAGGGAGTTGGCAGGGACTTCATAGCAAGTGGACTTCATAGCAAGTCCAGTGATGCTGAAAAGGCAATGTAGATAAACCCTAGGCTCTTCAATGGAACCACCTCCCTCACCCCCCCCCCCACCTTTTTTTAAGCCAAGAGGAGAGGCAATAAGCATATGTCCTAGCCGAATTCAGCTGAGGTGATTGCATCCCACTTACCTAAAATATTCCT